ATCCATTTGAGGTGTTGTAATCAAAAGGGATGGCTATATACTTGTTAATCCTTTTTTTCCTTGAGGTGGGAAGTGGATTATTTATTTGAGGAGTTTGCTTGGTATTTTTGTTGTGGTTGGTTTTATTGATTGGTTGCCAACAGGTTCTTTGGTTTAGATGGTGAGGAGGTGTTGATTTATACATGTGTTTGGATTTTGGTTTGGGAGCAGGTTGGTTCCTTCTTTTGGGAACATTTGGTGGATGGGGTTTTTGGTAAGTGAGCTTTCTTGTGTATGAAGTATTGCTTGTAGATGTGCTGTTTTGAGTGAGTCTGGTGGGGGATGAGTAACCAAGACCTCTTTTCTTCCTTTTTAGAGCAACTTCAGCAGTAGGGTGAGAGTCTTTACTATTTGTGCTGGAGTTTCTCATCTCTTTGTTCTCCTTTTCTAAGACATCATTTTTCCTTAAGGCATCTAGTAATTTGGAATGAATGGCCTTAATGTCTTGTTTCAGTCTATCATATTCAGTATTCAAGAGAACGTGGTGATTTTGGACTTTCTGGAAATCTTGTAATAAAGATTTCAGTGTTATATTGTTTGGTCCAGAATCACTAGAGCTATAGGAAGAGCAGGATGTTACCTCGACATCATTGTAGTGGTCCTTGGCCATTAAGCATTTGGGAGAGCTGCTTTCATTATTTTCACTTGAGCTGGTGGAAGATTCACTGAGCCACCTGCTGCTCTCTGCAGTGAGACAACTGCTGCCATCTACACCCACCTGCCAGGATCCCAGGCATAGAAGTGCTTCCTATGAGCTCTCAGATGAAGAGCTTTCATCACTTGAGCTGCTTTCATCTTCAGATTGGGGTTCCTCCTTTTTCTTTTCACTAACAAAGGCTTGTCTTTTGCCTTTGAAGTCCTTCTTGTAACCAGCTTTGTAACCAGTCCCCTGCTGCCTTTGATATTTATGGGCTAAGGGCAGAGGGCATTCATTTTTGTAATGTCCTGGTTGTCTACAGTTGTAGCACAGGACAGTTTCCTCACTGGTTTGAGGTCTCCCTTGTCTCCTGGGTGGCAGATTGTATGGTCTTTTTGGAGCAGTTCCCTCCTTCTTCATGAACCTTTTAAACTTCCTTACAAACATGGCAAATTGGTCGTCAGTAAGGAGGTTGTTGAGGGATTTTTCACTGGATCTTGAAGGGTCAGGCTCAGACACTAGAGCTAGTGTCTTGGATTCATCTTCCTTTTCTTCTTTTATTTCCTTCATCTCAAATTCATAGGCTTTGAGATCACTGAAGAGCTTATCAGTAGATAAGATTCTTAGATCTCTACTATCTCTCATAGCAGTCACCTTCATGTCCCATTTAGAGGGTAGGCCTCTCAAGACTTTAAGGGAAATCTCTTTTTGAGGTAGATCTTTCCCTAGGTCTGAGACCTCTGCTGTGATCTTTAGGAACCTCGATTCCATCTCATGGATGGACTCATTTTGCAGCATTTTGAAGTCCTCAAATTTCTTGAGGGCCATGGTTAGTTTATTGTCCTTCTCATGTTCATCACCAGCTCCAATTTTTGTGAGCTCATCCCAAACGTCCTTTGCAGTTTCACATTTCCTAATCCTGGGAAATATGGATGCATCAACAGATTTGAAGAGAATATCCTTGGCAATGTTATCAAGGTTATTTCTCTTTCTGTCCTCAGTTGTCCATTCTAGTTTGGGCTTGAGAATGTACACATCCTCCTGGTCATCAGTTTTGGATGTGCTGACCTTCATTATCCTGATAGGTCCAGTAGTGATCACTTCCAGCATCTCATCATGTAAGGCACTGAGATGTGCCTTCATCCTGATTCTCCAATCATCAAATTTGTTTAAGTTGAATAGGAGGTTTTTGGCTAGTTGACTGTCCATTGTTTAGAAAGTGTTTGGGAGGGGAAGTGGCTTTGGATCTTTAGTTCAAAATAGTCAATAAATGACTCTAGGAACACTCCGCTCTGATACCACTTGATGGTCCCGGATAGGGTAAAAGTCTAGAGGGGGGAGGGGGTGAATAGACTTTTAAATCTTTTTCGACTTTTGAAAGTTTTCCCTCTAAAAGAGTTAATCTATAAACTTTTGAGAATTTTATAGATGCACAGCGGAAGTCTTTACCCTTTGAGTAATGAGTGTTTAGCCACTTTCTAGCTTGGAGAGTGTTTGGCTTAGAATGCTAGCAGTTGGCTTAGCAGGTGGCTAAGAGCAGGGAACTGTTGAGGCAACTGCTCAGGAAATGTAAAGTGTATGATGGAGGTAGAGATAGTTGTTTGATGAGTATGGTGTGGTCTTTTGGTAAGTATGCTTAAAAGAGGGGAGACTAGCTTTTTGCTGAAGCAGTGGGCTCGACAGTTGGGTGAATATGAGGGAACTGCTGAGGCACCTGCTCGGGTCAAAAAGCTTATTGGGTTAAGCAAACTTCTTGATGAGGTATTGACAATCTGGTGATGTTTGAGACAGTGACATGAAACAAGTACATATATGAGCAGAGGGCTCAGTAGTTGGGTGGATTCCAGGGAACTGCTGAGGCACCTGCTGTACTTAGAAAATGAATTTCAGAGAACTGAAAGAGTGATCCTTTTAGACGTTGTTGGTGCACGTTATAGGTATGAATCCGGTCTCAAAGAAAGTGAGTAATTAAGCAGTAGGATAAGCAGTTGGGTCAATTAAGACAACTGCTTAGGATTCTGCCGGCAGACTACAATCTTTATGTGAGAAGTGTTTGGTGTGTGCTTTGTTGACTGAAATGAATTCAACACACGATATATCCTGGTTCAGAGGTGGTGTAATCCTCCTACGTCCAGTCCCACCCTCTTTCAGATGGATTTCACTAAAGTATTAAGCCCAATACAGTTAGTGCCAATCTAGCCTTTACAACACTTAGGCCTAGATTGAAGGTTTTTCACGATGAGTATAGCACCACTCAAAGTTACTCAGTCCTTAGACTTTTCTCTAATGAACAAGTGGGGATCAAAAGGTACTCTATCTATCTACTTACACTGTAGGATCCGAACAACTGTTCTCCTAAGTGTTTACAGCAATATGTGATTTGTTACAAGAAAGTTCTAACCTCCAACTAGGAACTAAACTTCTATGATTTAGCAATGAAAAGCTTTGTAAACTGGAAGTTTAGTGAAGCATGAGTCCAAGCAGAGAGTAAAGTTTAGAATAGCACTTTCTCTTTTGCTAGATATCTCGTAAAAGCTCGTGATAGAAATTCTCTCTTTGGATGCTCAAGCGCTTGGTTAGAAACTTTCGTTTCAGCCTATATTTATAGGCATCTCCTTTGAATTAATCTCATCCGTTGGTTAGGATGGATTAATCTTTGATGTTGAAATTCTGACAAGGACAAATTGTACATTCGTCTTCTTGTGCTGGAGCTTTAATTCAGGCTGATGCATTTGTCTTGAATAATTCACCCGCTGGAGCTTCACTTCAAATTGCAGTCTCATGTGTATGTACATGACTTCGGACCCAGTACGTATTTGGCATTAAATGTCGATCAATGTTTGTCTCTAATCATTCATTTGATACTTCTAGTTTCTTTTATCTAAAAATGTGACATACGAATAATTTTTGAGTCAAATAGTATTTGCCGGTAGGATTCAAATATCCTATTAAGGTAAAGAAAATTTACCTTATTGCATTTTTACTTTTCCGGTAATATTTCTTAGACTCAAAAGTTGTACATTTAATTTGTCAGGTAAATACTAGAACAAAATGAGACACAATGTACACGTGCTTAGTATAATGGCATCATCAAAATCTTATCAAAATTGGGTACTAACAAATTATATACTCCGTATTATGCTGTACATCGGTAAAAGATATTTCTCTGTAGCCTATCCTTTATTGAGGTCTTCTTAAATAAAGAATGAATTCTTGTTATACCTATTAAGTGTTTGTTAGAATGTTTAAATGACAATGGGATTCATTTGAGAGTACAATATAATTTTAATACACTCTACTCTACTGATTTCTTGTTGAATCTTTTTCTATTTGATTGTACTTTTATTCTCTTAAATTTACATTTATGTTAAAATTTAACCTCCTAAACTTTAGACCTCATATGAGTTTTCAATAAAAGCTATGTCTTTTAAGTTAATAGTTATAGTAATTTGAGTAAAATTTGTGTGTTGATAGGAAACCTTAAATTGCAATCACTAATTTTCTCAATGTTGCTCTTTCCCGGATTCTTCTCAGCACTGTCACAAAAATTGTTGCTCTTGTTCATGCTCATCTTGTGGCAGTTGTTATATTACTCCAAAATGTCCTAAACCTTCTTTTTCGTGTTTTAACTGCTCATGCTGCTACAAATATAGCAATGGTAGTACATGTTGTTGTCCTTTTTGTTGTCCAAAGATAAATTGCTGTAGCAGTTGTACAAATACCACCTGCTGCTGCAGCCTTTTATACTTTTGTTGCTTCTAGCACCATAATTTCAAACATTATTACATAATAATAATGTTCTTATTATTAAAAGGAACAATAGCAGTGAGTTTTTACCAAATACCACCTGCTGCTGCAGTCATCTTTTAGTTTATTCTTCAATTCGTAGGTCATGTTGGAGTGAAATTTGGTTATAAAATTAGTATTTAAATGCTAAAGAAATGAATGGCAAGGCTATTAGTTCGAATGGTAGAGCAATGTGCAAATGTGCACAATGGTGTAGGTTCGAATCCCACATAGCTTAAATATAGATACATATGTTAATATTTTAACTTTTCTATCAAGTACAATGAGATAAATTAGAGAAGTATTTTGGATTTCTTTAACTGTCTTTTTTCCTCTTTAACTATTGAGCCTCAAAATTTATGTTTTTATGTGATCCCGGCATAAAAAAGAAAGTCTGAGTTTTCCACAAGAGCTGGCCCAGAATATTTGATATTAGGTAGCTTCTTCCTTTCCAAAAGGTGATATTAGGTAGCTTATTCCTTTCCAAAAGGTTCCATTCCAGAAATGGGGCATTCCTCTTTAAGCTTTCAGGTTTCAGGTGTGTAGCGGAAGTCATTAAACTGCTGGTCTCTTGCTAGTGGACTGACAGAACGGTCTAGCTGAAGTAGCATGATTGTGACTTCATAGCGCTGGGAAAACTATGGATATGCTACTGTTGCTGAGATGATGTTTTACAGCCAATTGTTTTACAGTTAAATACCCATAATACAGGTCCTTTGTGCACTAATACTCCGGTTTTTTATGTGAAAACTGATGCTCTTTCACTTGTTGCTAAGCATATAGGGACTGTCCCAAAAATTTTGGATGCTAAGGTTGTGTTTGATGGAACCCCGGTGGCTACCTCTCACCAAGTAGTAACTGTTGGTGTGTTTCATTCCCTATTGATGATGGCCCCTGATTCTAACAATGATGAAATACATGTTGCTCCCTCAGAAAATACTACTAATATGGGAGATGATGAAATCAATTCTGATCCACCCGATGCTTTTACAACACTTAGCCCGATTTTGTCCAATGCTAAAATTCTTTCTGAGGACCCCACTGCTTTAAATAAATTTTCAAATGTCACAGACTTTCCCAGAGCTGAGGAGGAATGCCACGACGGGTTCACACAAGTAAGGAACATGAAAAAACTTTTAATGAGCAACGCCAATAGATCAACCACACTTCAAGAGGACACCCCATTATACTACGAGGTGGGATACACCTCTCACCCCATGGTTACAAGAAGTCAGTGCAAGAAACCACAAGATGAAAATGATTATTTCATACTGAAAATGGTTACTATCCTATCTTCTTGATTACATGACTACTTAGTTTCTTGGCACCTCTTTGTTTGTCTTATCAATCTTTTTACTGAGATTTCCTACTTAACCATTTCTTTGTATATAAGTTGACTCTCAAATAAATAAATGTTGAGGACTTGAGGTAGCCTATGTGGGTTTCGAACCCACATCTTTCATGCAATCACATGATGCTCTACCAGTTGAGCTAATAGGCTTTATGTAAAAGAAAGTATAATACACTTGAGCTCTCTCAATCACCTCAGCTTAATACACTTCATCATGCTTTGTAATTCTTACAAAAAATACATAACTATTCGGTGAAATTTTATAACTTTTTCACAAAAGGAAAACTTTTAATTTTTTTCAAAACTTGCAACTGACACATGTGCTATCTTGAAAAAAGGAGAACGAGATTTTTATTTGGAAAGAAAAGGAGAACAAGATTTAGCACCATCACTTTTATCCGCGCCTAAAGTAAATTTAAAAAGGCATATTTTATCAATAAACTAATATAAATAGAATAAAAACTTCTAGAATTAAATACATAACTTTTAGTTTTAGATACAGTGCAATCAATAAAAACATTCACTTATTTATAGCATGAACAATCAAACAGTGCTCCATAGTGATAAAATAAAATAGTGTGAGATTGCCAAGAAAACAACATAAGATACCTTAGTTATTCGTCGAAGCTTCCTCATTTCCCATGCATTGTTCTCCTCATCTATAAGGAGCCAAAACAGAAATACTCAAACTTTTATATAAATAACTTGAACTTTTAATTAAATAATTCTAACTTTTAATTAGAAGTATTCATTCTATACTCTTCAGTACGCACAGTTTTTGGAATTGCATATTAAGCAATTGCTTGATCATTTGTGGCTTTTGTTTTGATGTTATGAGTTATGTAATATGTCATTAAAAATATAGTTTATGCTAAAAGTTGCTCATTAGATCACACCATTAATCAATAGTCATACATGGTACTCACTAACTACCATATCTCTATATACTTTAAAACATTGAATCTATATTAGAGTGAAAATTGAGATGAAAAAGAAATCAGAACAATCAAAACAATGCGATTTAAAAAAATTATGGAATAAAAAACATAACTTGTAATAAAATATTCATAACTTTTAATAAAATAGTGATAACTTTTAACATAAGTAGATGCACTGCCACTTGTAACTATTAATCCTTACCGATAATTATCCATATAGAGAACTCTGAAACAACAAATGCATCAACTCATACTTTCTCCCGTCGTTCTAAAAGAAGTATTAAAGTAAATAATTATGTTATGGTAAGTGATTAGAGTCTACAATTCTATTTAGAGAGGTTGAAGAAAACATTAATTTTACTCAAATCACTATAACTTGTAAACAAAAAATTGTAACTTTTAAACCCAAAGGCTTAACTTTTTCTTATTTGCTTAAACTCCCAAGACCTCTAAAACAATGAATATAACTTGTAATCCAAAAAGTATAACTTTTAAACCAAGGAGGATAACTTTTAAACCAAGGAGGGTAACTTTTACTAAAAATGTAAGAGCTCTAAAACTTAAGATCTTATATGTACTTTTTTTTATAAAAGTGTAAATTAAGAATTACTATAAATTTAAGAAAAACATCTTTGAAATCAAAATGCACAACTTTTGCAGGTTTTGCTCTTAACATTGTCATGGGTAGAGTTTCTTCTGCCGTTCCCAAGATTGCAGCAGCACCTACTGCGTGATTTAACTTTTGATTCAATATCAAGATTAGATGATTAAGTTGAGAGGCTCTCATAACCTTACAAGGAGATTGAAGATTGTTTTGCCCGAACTGCTAAGGATGGGGAATTGTGGCATTGTGGATAGGAAACACAACTTATGTCATTTATTTATTAAATTATAAACCTATGCAAAATAAACCTTCTCTTGAATAATTTGATAAAAAATAGGACCTAAAAATGGTTGAACCAATCTCAACTTCCCAGGATCTGTTAGACGCAAAATTTAGCAAAGTTGATACGTGTGAATAAAAGCTTATACTGCAGACTTGGAAACCTAATATTTTTCAGCTGAGAAATTGGAGATAGCAATCGTCTCTAATCTTCGCTAATAGTACTTTAGTGATGATAAATATCCATAAGAACTTGCCAATTTATCCTATAGAAGTTGTATGAAGAAAACTTACCTTCGAGAAATAACCTAGTGCCGCATCTCTTCATGATTTGAATAATGTTCGTCATTGTACTGTTGCACTTCGTCAGAGGTACTGGGATGTTCGTCGTTGCGCGATTGAACTTGGTAGAAGTGATTAGGAAGATGCTATGTAGCTAGTCGGAGAGATAAATTAGCGTCTTCTGGACGTGGGTCAATTTTAAAAGGACGTGGGTTCTCAATTTAAAAATTAAGCCCTTGATGTACTTTATAGATTTTGGTTCAAATGAGAACGTGTCTTAACGTGAGAACGTGAGAACACATCTCATCCATCCAAAATAAATAAGCATGTGCGATTAAATGAGGCCTAGGAAAGCACATTTACGTCTTCTCACATGTTGGCGGTTGCATTGACCCTTCTTTCCGTTTTTATTCTTTTTGAACTTGCCTATCTTTCATTAAATTCTATTATACTTTGTTCATATATGGAAGTTTCACATGTTGCAAATGAAATTTCGTTAGTGGGAAATTTCTACGTGATGTCTAATTCCTCTTTATTTAATTCTTATGGGAATGTTATTATCCAATCATATTTCTCTTCAATTAATATTCACTATATCATAATTATATTCTTCAACACATATTTTCCATTTTTATATTATATACATGTGAATTAGATACCAATTCATGTGCATTACAAAAATGAGGTTGTGTGTTGGATACATGTTCGTGTGGGTTACATATTTGGGGTTGTGTGTTAGATAACGGTTCTTGTGCATTACATACTTTTTGTGATTCTATATGTCCATATTATGTGCTACATACGAGTTATCTAACGTATATATCTATTGTGTGTTAGATACTATTTCATGTGTACTATATAATAGTTTAGGTTATATGAAGTATTTATGTGTTTGATATTAGTTCTTAATTATTGTGCGTTAGATACTATTTTTTGTGATTGAGATACTTCTTCAAGTGTTATATACTCCGTATATAAATTTGTGTGACATAGTTGTTGTGATATTACTTGATTCTTACTTGTGTATTAAATAATGAATTTTGTGCTTAAGATACTTATTCTAGTGTTTTGTTATACATATTGTGCGTTGGAAACTCTTACTTGTGATATACAACACATTGCACAAGTATAATTGTAATATACACCATTATCAAAGTAAAATATTTCAACAGTAAAATAAATTGAATCTTACAATAGCACACTTTATATATATTCGTACGTACCTTGAATATATTCTTTCTAAATATAAAACTAATATAAATGAAGATAATAAATGTCAAACAAAGTGGCATAGTTGTAGGAATCCACTAAGGAAAGAAACTGTCGGTCAGGGAAAATGCGTAAGAGGTTAAAAATAATACTACATTATTGCCCTTGTTTATCATATTTAATAGCCATTTAATATTTACGGATTTATTAGTATGTGGTTATCTACACAATGATGAAGTGCACCATACAAGTTGTGATCGTTAATTTCCATAGATCAACGATTCTGATGCGTTCTCATTTCTCACATTAAGCATTGTTCTCATTAGAACCGCACTATATATATATATATATATATATATATATATATATATATATATATATATATATATATATATATATATATATAGGGAGTAGATCAGGTGAGAAGTGCCCTTAGGCTGAGAACTGCGAAGTTTAACTAATAGACTAAAAACATGAACTTTTAACCAATAAATCATAACTTATACACCCCGTCGAAAATAATTATGAAAATGCCACCGCAAAAAAATAAGCCTGGAAACCTTGAAATATTTTGGACGCGGTGGTATTTTCGTAATTATGATGGAGAGCTTTATAAGTTATGATTTATTGGTTATAAGTTACTATGTTCAGTCTATAAGTTTACTGTGTTGCAAGATCACATGCAAATCCAAGAGCTGAGATTACTTCTCACTTCTCATTTTAAGGGGCACTTCTCACCTGATCTTATATATATATATATATATATATATATATATATATATATATATATATATATATATATATATATATATATATAAACATTCTGAACCAGCCCTTCCGGAAATGTTTTGTCCGGAACAAAATGCTACTATCCTTAGGATACGATGAACGACTTAGATAAAAAACAAAACAACATAGTGGATTTCATTACTCGTCATTTTCGCCTTTCTATCCCAGCCTTCCTTCGTCATTCAAACTTTCCGCCTTCGTCCTTTCTCTTCTTCTTCCCAATCTTTTCTCTTTCTATTTCCTTTGTCTGTTCACACCAGAGTTAGATTCCTCCGCCCAAACCAAACACGAGAAACATGGTTGTTCCCAATCTTTTCCCAGAACAACTAAAAGGACACATAAAAACTGAATGAGGTATAGAATTGTTATCACAAGACCCCCTAAAGATCTTCCTCGATCAGTGTTGTTTAGTTTTTTTTTAATTCTGGTTTTAATTTCTTTTTGGTATTCTGGACAATCACTTTTAGTAAAATGATATTTTAATTTTTCTTATTCAATTTAGGCTAGATTTCAAAACTTCACACCTTCACAGTTCGCAGTCGTAAATGTCAGGGTAGATATTATATATGAAGATTGAAAAAGGAAAAACAGAATAAATAGTTGTGGAACAGGAGGAGCTAAAGAAATGATAGAGAAATTAGACATTATTTATGTTGGTGTGGGAAAAGGATAATCGACCGAAGGAAGAAGAAAACATCGGACTTTGCCAGAAAATTGTGGCCCCCCTCCCACTTGTTTTAAAATCTTTAACCGTTCATTTCATCTAAGGGCCTATTTTAATTTCTTCCGGATTGGAATTCTACGGAACGAACGGACCTGAAAAGCCCTCTATATATATATATATATAGAGAGAGAGAGAGAGAAAGTAGATTATCATTTATACTCATCTTTTTTAAAAATAGTAAAAGTAATTAAAGAGTGAACATTACAATAAAGTAAGATTATATGGGTAATTCTACCACTCTTTTTTAA